AAAAAAGAATTAAGTTTATGATTATGATATTAATTCATAATTCTAAATATCACTCTTAATTAATATTGCTGAATCAATCCATTTTTTGAATAAATAATCATTTTAGATGAGAATTTTTCTTTCATCTTGTAGAATTGCCATCCTTTTTGTCAAGAGAAAAGTTGTTTCTATAATTTTCTAATAAGAGTATTTAAGGTTTTTATATATATATTTTCCTATTTATATATATATATTCCTATTTATATATATATTTGTTATATTACAATTAATAAATTACTTGCTTAATATTCAAACTAAAACGAAAAAATTTTTCTTTTCAAGTAGTTGTGATAGAACCATTAAACTATAAAATATTAATCATAAATAAGAATGGTTTTGCAAAAATTGTAGTCTTGATAGAAATAATGATGAAATATATATATCATTAAATATGAGTTCAAATTTTAATACAGTTTTCAATATTTTTTATATACTTATTAATAGGCTGGGAGATATCAAAGGTTGGTCATCAAATAAGAGTATTATTTATTATTTTTCTAAGCCAAACTCTAGAAGGGCATGAATAGTATTGAAAATCAATCTATTTCAAACAAACATATGGAAGGTTCATTTATAACTCAAATTTTGAAATTTGCTTTCAAAAAAGATAAGTTTCAAAAGAACATTGTTTAGTTGTAATCTCCTTATAAATGATTATTTTTATAATCAAAAATTATACATTATTAGATATTAATTATGTTATTCTCTTATTCTAAGGAATTTCATCATTATTTTGAATTCTTTAATAAACAATTTCAAAATTGATTTGTATTTCAAATAATCCTTCAAGAGTTGATATTCCACAATTTTTAGTTGATAATTAAAGTAAATTAAATTGTCAGTCATCATATAACTGGATATAAATTATATTTTAATTGTCCATAAAATATGTATTAACATACATTTCCTTCATATATTTTTTCATATAATTAATATCTATTTACAAAATATATGTAACTTATTGTCACCTCTGATGAAATATTAAAACAAATATTGAGTAAAGATTGAATCAAGTTTAAATATTAAATCTTTATCTTAATTCTAATTGTAGTGTATTATAGTATTTGTTTGGCTTTAATTTAAATTGTTATAAATTAAATAAAGGACAAATTAATTCTTATCATTTTGATGAGTTGAATTACTTGGAGTAAAGACTATTATTTTATTTATACAAAATGAATTAATTATTGATAGTAATTAAAGTAAAGCATTAGTCTTGTTTATCCTTTCATTTCAATAATTTTTTAATAAATTAAATTAATTTAATAAATACTTTTAACCAAATTATTTTTATTATGATTATAGAAATTTTGTAAATTTGGATGGCTGTTTTTAAACATTAATAATTTTTGTTTCTCATTATCCATAATTTTAATTTAAGATTATAAAGATGAAATAATTTATACAAAATCTTTGTCTAATTGAGGTGAAAAATAGGAAAAAAAACTATATTATTTTAATTTGCTTCAATATCTAAATATAAAAAACACAAAATATAAACTTTGAAGTTTATAAATTATTTTTAATGATTTCTTTTCTCCATAAGTTAAAGTCTCAATTTTAACGGAAATAAAAAAAGGAATTAATTAATTAGGATCTTAATTAACAACTATTGAAATACGAATAAATATGCATAATTAAGGAGGTCTAATCCTAAAAATGGTTGAATGCAGTTTTTAATAAAACATCTAATCTATTATTATTGTCAACTGATACTTAAATTAAAGTTTTTTAGTTTCAAAATGCTCATTTAATATAAATTTTAACTCTTTTTGGAAATAACATGGGAGCACTTTATAGTATGAAAAAGTAAGATTAATTCATTTTTATGAATTAGAATAAGAGATGTATATCATCATTTATAGGAATGAATAATTATAAAATATTAACTATAGATAAATGCTTTTAACGTGGTAGATTCCAATCATTTCTTTTGAATAAAAATGAAGATTTATTAATTGAGTATGGAGATGGTATTTTAATATTTCAAAAACAAAATTCAACTTGGAAATATATTTGGTATGAAGAATGCTATTAACATTGCTCAAATGTACACATATAA